GAAGAATTAATCCCAAAGGATTTAATGAGTCAGCAGAGTTTTACGAATACAGACGTCGGAAATCGAGCCTAGGGCGTCGAGACTGAACGTCGCAAAATCACAAGCAACAAGTATAAGCGTAGCCATAGCTAGGCTAGGCTAGCTCATCACAAGCCTAGGCGCACCATGGTGTGCTAGGCACTATCGCAGCCTAGGCATGCGTATGGCAGCCTATCGCACAACACCACAAGCCCCAGGCAGCCCATCGCAGCTAGCAGCGTGCTAGCCTGGGTGCCTGAGTGCGCATGGCAAGCCATCGCAAGTGCCACAAGCACCAGGCAGCCCATCGCAGCTAGCAACGAGCTAGCCTGGGTGCCTGGGTGCATGTGGCAGGCTATCGCAGCACGCAGCCTAGGCCAGGCACCATCGAAAGGCATGGCACCACATACAGCACCATCGCAATGTCAGGGGCTTGCGTGTGTGTTCGTGTGTGCCTCGCAGCCTCGCACAGCAGCAGTAATGATGCGTGTGGGCTGGTGCGTGTGTGCGTGCCTCGCACCAAGCATAGCAGTGCTAGGCACTGACTGATGCGTGTGCGAGGGTTGCATGGTGCGTAGCGTGTTGCGTGGATGGTGCGAGGGAAAGGGCCAGCATGCGTGGCTCGCTAGCAGCACGCATGCTGGCTGTGCTAGCAATGGGATGCGAGGGAGATGTTGCGAGAGATGCATGTGCGTGCGATAGGGAGTTCTAGGCAACCAGCAGCACCAGCGCCTAGCACTGGCCAGCACCAGCGCCTAGCACAGCCTAGCATCAGGCATGCGAGGCTGCTGGGCAGGCACATGCTAGCTGGCTGGGCTGGCTGGCACATGCTAGCTAGCAGCAGCCCAGCACCCCTTTTAAGTGAGGCGGTTTTGTGAGGGTGGGGACCAAGGCTTTGGGAAAGCCTTGGGGAGCAAGGCAATGGTCCCCCCCACCCCTCCATGGTCCTCACCTAACCTTCTCTCTCCCTTTGACACTTGTTGCATTGTGATTGGATTTATTTATTAATTTATTATAGAAATAAATTAATTAGCAAAATTATTCAAACTCCCGCATTGGTTGGGGAATGAAGTTCAAGGGTTCATTTCCCTATAAATACCAAGCTTGGGTATTGGGAAATGAAAAACCTTAAGTGGAATTAAAAAAGGCAACTCTAAGAAAGAGTAAACCTTTGATTCGTAAAACTCATAGTTATTTTGTCCGGGTCTTGACTAACCTTCAAGACTTAGGACGCTCGGGTCGGGTCGAGGGTACGATCCGTCGGAGATCTCGTCTTTTCGGGATTTTGAAGTAAGAGCTCTTTGGGAGCGAAGCACGCGTCAAAGGTATAATTCGTGTTCTTAATCTTGTTTGATTAAGTTTATTATGCTTGTTAATTGCTTTAATTAAGGGGCGGGTCTTGGTGGGTTTCCTTCCGCGTAGTGTCGGGTCACTACGAAACCCTACATTATGTTCATCCTAAACCCCTCTCCCTCATCTCCGAACCTAAGGTAGCTACCTAGGATGGCAATCTCATCCGTCCGAACGTTGTTAGGTTCAATTCTACCAAAAATTGTCCTCCCCGATGACCTGGTCCACATCCTAAGGGTCGTTTGATGAATTTTATGGGCACGGGCATGTTGCATTGATTCTATGTTCTCACCCGTCATCGCCAACCACAACTCCCCCGAGGTGAAACTATCGGGTTGCACAGTCAAACCGGTAGAGGGGAGGCCAAATTTCCTACCAAATCCATCCAAGGTGAGACGGTGAGATTTATTCATTAATCTATACACAACATGCGTAACCAAACCGTCTCTACCTTTCACAACATCAAATGAACTTAGGAATTCAAGAGTAATGTCCTCAAATGTATAATGTATCATATTAAATAGTTGAGTCATGCCAAGTCTAGAAAATAAATTTCGACATTCAATATAAATTCCTAGCCTAGCAAGAAGTGTAGGGTTTCGTAGTGACCCGACACTACGCGGAAGGAAACCCACCAAGACCCGCCCCTTAATTAAAGCAATTAAACAAGCATAATAAACTTAATCAAACAAGATTAAGAACAAGAATTATACCTTTGACGAGTGCTTCGCTCCCAAATAGCTCTTACTTCAAAATCCCGACAAGACGAGATCTTCGACGGATCGTACCCTCGACCCAACCCGAGCGTCCTAAGTCTTGAAGGTTAGTCAAGACCCGAACAAAAATAACTATGAGTTTTACGAATCAAAGGTTTACTCTTTTCTAGAGTTGCCTTTTTAATTCCACTCAAGGTTGTCAAATCCCAATACCAAGCTTGGTATTTATAGGGAAATGATCCCTTGATTTCCAATCTCCCATCAATGTGGGAGAGTTGGTAAAATGATAATTATTTAATTCCAAAATTAATTAATTAATCAACTCAATCACAAATCAACACTTGGCATAATTATAGAGAAAGCCAAGTGAGGCCCAAGTCTTGGGGGGACCATTGCCTTGATCCCCAAGGCCATGTATTGGTCCCCACACACCATGCCCAAAACCGGGTCAAGGTGTGCTAGCTAGCTGCCAGCTAGTGTGCCAACCAGCCAGCCAGTGCATGCTGCTGCTGGGCTGTGCTGGTGCTACGTGCTGCGCTGGGCGCTACTAGCACCTAGTGCTGGCACTGGCCCCCATCAGCCCCACGCACACACGCACACTCTTCGCGCCTCATCGCTAGCACAGCCAGCATGCGTGCTACTAGCGAGCCACGCATGCTGGCCGCATTGTCCCTCGCACCATGCGTACACACGACTCGCAGCCTCCTTCGCACTACCCACGCATCATGCGGCAGTCTTGGTGTGTGGTGATGCTTGGCTGTTGTGCGAGGCCTAGCACCACGCTGGCGCCCAGGCCCTCGCATGTGGTGCGATGCTTGGTGCTACCATGCGAAGGCTAGCACACAAGCCACCACGCACATGGTGCGCCATTGCCAGGCAGGCAACCATGCTAGCACTTGGTGCTTGCGATGGTGCTGCCATGCCAGGCACGCACGCACGCAGCACCCAGTGCTTGCCATGGTGCGCCTGGTGCCTGCGATGGTGCTGCCATGCCAGGCACGCACGCACGCAGCACCAGGGCCTGCGATGGTGCGCATGGTGCGCCCATTGCTGGCGATAGGTGCCATATGCACCCAGGCACCCACGCTAGCATGCTGCTAGCTTGCGATGGGCTGCCTGGTGCTTGAGGGGCTTGCGATGGCTGCCATGCGCACACAGGCACCCATGCTAGCATGTTGCTAGCTTGCGATGGGCTGCTAGGGCGCGCCTAGGCTGCGATAGTGCCTAGCACACCATGGTGCGCCTAGCACACCATGGTGCGCCTGGGCTTGCGATGAGCTAGCCTAGCCTAGCTACGGCTACGCTCATACTTGTCGATTGTGATTTTGCGACGTTCGGTCTCGACGCCCTAGGCTCGATTTCCGACGTCTGTATTCGTCAAACTCTGTCGACTCATTAAATCCTTTCGGATTAATTCGTCGTCTCGGATCGGTGATTCGATTGGGTTCGACCCGAAGGGTTCAGTTAAGATTAAGCTGTAATATCAATTGTACCTTGATATTACTGATCGGAAGCGACCTCCACCTAGGCATTCCGATCACTTGACCTTGCTGAAGAATTAGCTCTGTAATAATTCTGAACCCTCTATCGGAAGAATACACTTGTTGGAAGGATACCATTCCTTTCAATCTCCCACTTGTCCTTCCGGACAAGTGTGCATATTGTGTATGGCTCATTTCCTATGTCACTTAATGTTTCTTCGTGAACTATAAGGTAAGATTCTTTATCATCCTTATTACGTTCAGAAGTGTTTCTCAATCTCCGAGTTCGACTGTCAATAAGCAGATGATTTCTAAAATCCATCTGAGCACGGCCATGCATTTTCACAGTCTCACTCTTCGAGCGGCCTTGTAAACAACAAAACATTTTCCCTATTATTAGTAGGGGACAATCCCAGTCTTGTATTGTAAGTTCTTCTTACTAAGAGGACATAGTCTCCCGAGTGTTTCCGTTATGATCCCTAGTTAAGGCAGACGTTTGGAAACATCAAAGAGTCTAGTGCTCAAACAAGAAAACTTCACAGTACTCATGGTCGGAGGAAATAAGTTTCGATAGTCATAATGAGAAATGTACTTATGACAAAATTTAAATTTTCTTAAAGTACTCTCATAGGTCTTATCCAGTACAGTTCTCAATTGTACCTGTGCAAATGATTTATGACTGTCACGTCCTCGCAGCACAAGAAACGGTGCTGTAAATCATACTACACACTAATCTATGGCGGTCATCAATCGTCCATCTGTTAGATGACCTCGATTAGGGATACTTTTCGATTTAATATTCAATGTTCACTTAACAGGAAAAAATGTTTCAATGTTCAATTAGAGAATTTGGGGGTTTTTAGAGAGAGAAAGAGTGGAAGATGATTGAAGGTGAAAGAAAAAATGAGGAAGGAAAGGGAAAATCGGTTTTTTTTAAAAAACTGAAATTCGCAAGAAATTTCATCACGCCTGATCAGGCGGGTGCTGCCCGGTGAGATCGGGCGGAGGAAGCTAAAGCCAGCCTGTTGCTGTTCCTTGTGCTGCGTACCTGCTGCTGTTCGCGCCCGATCGGGCTGGTAACGCCCGGTCTGATTGGGCACTGTATTGTTCTCTCTCTCTTTTTTTTTTTTTAGAGATGCTGGAATTTTCAACCACCTGTGCTCGATCGGGCGATATATGCCCGGTCTGATCGAGCATAAGGGGTGAAAGTACTTAGCCGAAAAAAATACGCAGCTTCTTCCTCCAAGTTCCTCTCGCGCCCGATCGGGCGGGTGCTACCCGGTCTGATCGGGCGAAGAGGATTTCCAATCTTCACTTGCTTCTTTCAACGTTGTTGCTCGCGCCCGATCGGGCTGGCCTTGCCCGGTCTGACCGGGCAACGAGCAAAACGCCTTGTTTTCCACTTTTGATGAAATCTCTCGGCATCTCGCTCCTCCTATATACCGATGTTCTCTGAAAAATAACAAACACAACACAAAAATGACATAAAGACACCAAGGGAGATAAAACTAATAAATAAATAAATAAATAATTAAAAAAAATAAAAAATTAAACGAAAAGCGGGTTGCCTCCCAAAAGCGCTTGTTTATAAGGTCTTTAGCTTGACCATATTGATACTCATTGGCTCAACCGGGATCACCACACGGAAGAGGAACTCCGCAATGTCGCCCATGGGAATGATTGCCTCCAAGTGACTCCTTAATTTTATTATTTACCCGCCTTATTGTAGGGTTTCGTAGTGACCCGACACTACGCGGAAGGAAACCCCCAAGACCCGCCCCTTAATTAAAGCAATTAACAAGCATAATAAACTTAATCAAGCAAGACTAAGAATAAGAATTATACCTTTGTTGCGTGCTTCGCTCCCGAAGAGCTCTTACTTCAAAATCCCGAAACTACGAGATCTCCAACGGATCGTACCCTCGACCCGACCCAAGCGTCCCAAGTCTTTAAGGTTAGTCAAGAGTTGTGTATTTCCCAATACCATGCCTTTGGTATTTATAAGGAAATGCACCCTTGAACTTCATTTCCCAACCAATGTGGGAGAAAGAATAATTTTGATAATTAATTTATTTCCAAAATAAATTAATAATTAATTCAATCACAATGCAACAAGTGTCAAAGGGAGAGAGAGGGTTAGGTGAGGACCATGAACCTTGGGGGGGACCATTGCCTTGCTCCCCAAGGCATGCTCCAAGCCCTTTGGTCCCCACTCCCTCAAACCGCCTCAAGCATGCTGTGCTGGCAACTTGCCTTGCTGGCCAGCCAGCCTAGTCTGCCCAGCGAGCCACGCCTTGTGCTGGGCCCTGGGCGCTGCTGCCTGGCTATCGCACACACACGCACATGCACACGCACAGCCAGGCTAGTTGTTGCGTAGTGCTGCTGCCTAGCATCCCAGCATCCCCATCGCACGCACACACGCACCAGCCCCACGCATCATTGCTGCTGCTGCTTGCTAGCCAGCACGCACTGGCACTCGCACACGCACACGCACACGCACACGCACACGCACAGGGCATTGCCTGGCATGCTGCTGTGCGAGGCTGCGAGGCACACACGCACACACACGCAAGCCCCTGGCATTGCGATGGTGCTGTGCGTGGTGCCATGCCTGCGATGGTGCCTAGGCTGCGTGCTGCGATGGTTCGATAGGCCTAGGCATAAGCACACGCACGCACGCAAGCCCTTGGCATTGCGATGGTGCTGTGCGTGGTGTTAAGCCTGCGATGGTGCTTGGGCACTCGCACACGCCCAGCGTGCTGTGATGCGAGGCAAGCACCCATGCTAGTACTTGGTGCTAGCGATGGTGCTGCCATGCTAGGCACGCACGCACGCCAGCACCTAGTGCCAGCGATGGTGCGCCTGGTGCTTGCGATGGGCTGCCATAGTGCCTAGGCATCATGCTAGGGCTGCGATAGCCCCTAGGCATGATGCTAGGGCTGCGATGGTGCCCAGCCATCCTAAGGCACGCATGGTGCGCCTAGGCATGCTGCTTGGGCTGCGATGGTGCGCCTAGCACACCTAGTGTGCTTAGGCTTGCGCCTAGCCATGCTAGGTGCATGCTAGCTCGAACTAGCCTAGCATCCACATGATTAGACCATTGTGGTGCTACGGCTACACTCGTACTTGTCGCTTGTGATTTTGTGACGCTCGGCCTCGAAGCCCTAGGCTCGATATCCGACGTCTGTATTCGTAAAACTCTGTCGACTCATTAAATCCTTTCGGATTAATTCGTCGTCTCGGATCGGTGATTCGATTGGGTTCGACCCGAAGGGTTCAGTTAAGATTAAGCTGTAATATCAATTATACCTCGAAATTACTGATCGAAAGCGGCCTCCACCTAGGCATTCCGATCACTTGATCTTACTGAAGAATTAACTCTGTAATAATTCTGAACCCTCTATCTGAAGAATACACTTGTTGGAAGGACACCATTCCTTTCACTTATATCTGGACTCGCCTTCATGTGGCCAAACACATCATCAGGTGGAATTTTGTCCTTGCTTCTCACGAAATTTCTATCAAATACATACTTATCAAACAAAGGGTTAGTAGCATCGATTCTCAAGCAAGTTCCACCATCAAATATAGAATTATGTTCATCATAGAGCTTGAACATAACTTGTTTATCCTGGGCCCTAATGGTGACTTGTCCTTTGGGAACATCTATTAGGGCTTGACCTGTGGCGAGGAATGGTCGACCAAATATGATCGGGATCTTGCGATCTTCTTTCATATCCATGACAACAAAATCAACAGGAAAAACAAGTTCACCCACCGTAAATAATACGTCTTCAACCACACCCTTAGGGAGTCTAGAGGTCCTATCAGCCATTTGAAGAGAAATAGGGGAAGGTTTAAGTCCTCTCAAACCTAAGTTCTCGTATAACGAATAAGGCATTAGGTTGACACTAGCACCTAAGTCGCACAAAACTCTGTCGAAAAATTTTTCGTTTATCGTGCAGGGGATAGTGAAACTACCAGGATCATGCAGCTTAGGTGGTAGGTTATCATATAAGAGAGTAGGGCCTTTATTATTTACTACTTCCTTATCCTTATGTTGATCTTTAATATTCTTCACAAAATTCGCAAATTGAGGCATTTGAATTAAAAGATCGGAAAAAGGAGTAGAGGCGTGTACCTTCTGAAGAGCTTCGCAGTATTTCCGAAAATGTCTATCGAGCACGACCCTTAATAACCTTTGCGGGAAGGGAATCAGTTCCTCATAAGCCGGTGGAGCAACATATTTGGAACTTTGAGCATCTTTACCCTTTTCATCTTTTCTAGACTCCACACTGTACACTTTCTCATCTATTTGCCTCGGAGATGATTCATCTCTTCTCAAGAAAACTACATTGCATTGTTCTTTTTGGACCTTCGCTTGATCATGAAGAGTTGATAAACGACTCACCTGTTGTGAAAGTTAACTTATTTGGGTTTCCATGAGCTTACTCTGGGCTTGCAACTGTTGGATGGAGCTACCTTGTTGTTGGATGGCACTGTTAGTTGTGGTAATGAAGCTCTCCATCATCAACTCAAGGCTAGATTTCTGGGGAAGTAGTTGCGTTGGTTCTTGGTTCATAGGTGGTCTTTGTTGGAAACCGGGTGGTGAGTTGTAGTTGTTGGGTAGGGATGGTTGTAATGGTGGATTTTGTTGTGCTTGGGTGTTCTTATAAGAGAAGTTGGGATGATGTTTCCAACCTTCGTTGTAAGAATTGGAGTAGGGATCAAAGGGCTTTTTGGGGTTCGAAGAGTAGAAAGCATTGGCTTGTTCAATAGACATCTCACTCATGTTCTGCGGACAATCAGGTGCGATGTGGCCCTGCACATTACACATTTGATAAACATCCTGTGGGCTAGTAGAAGTTCCAGCTTGGAGCTTATCAAACCTGCTTCTTAGTGCCTGCACAGAACTGGTTAACATAGTCAAAGCATCTACATCAAGTTTACCTCCTTTTTTCATATTCTGATGACCTCCTGGATGGTAGTTATCGTTGGCCGCCATTTTTTCTATTAGTTCCCTGGCTTTTGTTGGATTTTTGGTCATGACCGAACCTCCGGATGCAGCATCTATGTATATGCGAAATTCATGAGTCAACCCATTGTAGAATGTTTGGATTAACATCCACTCTGGGATGCCATGATGAGGGAATTATCTCTTTAGCCTCTTGAATCTCCTCCAAGCCTCATAGAGAGACTCGTCATCTGACTGTCGGAAGGTAGATAGCTTGTTCCTCAACCTAGCAGTCTTCTCCTGTCCTAGAAACTTCACTAAGAAGGCCTTCACTAGCTTGTCCCATGTGTCAAACGAGCCAGTGCCTTCATCTCTCAACCACTCCTTTGCCCTATCCCGCAATGAGAAGGGGAAAAGGCAAAGTCTAATAGCATCATCTGTTACACCATTCATTTTCATTGTGTCACATTTCTCCAGAAAACTATCAATATGACTTACCGGACAATCATGCGGTAGGCCTGGAATCATTAGAGATAAATTGAATGAATTAGGGCTTAAGATCGAAGTGCTGAGCCGTCACAGGTGGCCTGACAATGCTAGATAGGAGTCCGGTAGTCGTATCAAGAATACCGCACTCCATAAGGGATTTCGTAGCATCTTCCATGTTTCTCCTACGTCGATTCCTTGTTCTCCTTCTCCTTATAGTTGCATCGATCTCAGAGTCAAATGGTTCAAGATCTTCTGACCCTGAGCGTCGTGCGGGCATGCAACAAGAAAACTAGAGAAATAATATAAAAAACACAAGAGAAAATAGCCGAAGCAACGAATAAAGCTTAGCAAAAACGAATCACAAATAATCAAATGAAACCGTTAGTCCCCGGCAACGGCGCCAAAGTTTGATAGGCGTGTCGCGTACCTAACAAAAATAACCTAACTATTCCTCCTAACTATGTAGTCGGGCAAGTAAGGGTCAAATCCCAAGAGACTAAGGTTCACCTAAATTATCTAGACTCAAGTACTTACCAAGCAAGAATCAAACAATGGTGGAATAAACTAAAAGCTAATGTATGGAAAACTTAGAATAAATCAAACGAATATAATAAATCAATAAACGAAAACATCCAAGATCAAGTATCACCACAATTACGATTGATGCAATTATATATCTACCCCTAACATACAATTCCAATTAACATGGGGAAAAGTAAACCCTAATCAATACCAAGGACCTCTCTCGAGTATCAATGGCTTCCCTAACCTACAATCAAGCCTATTCTCATGGTATCATGCAAATTAGAGACATTAAACACTTTACTTCACTTTCCAATTATCAATTCAACTACTCTCGTGATGAATTTCAAACCCTAAATCAATTTACTCAATTCCGTTAAAATCCAACTCTCGTTGTGATAGAAACAATGGAATAATAACAATACTAATTATCTCTAATATAGCATTGGCATAATCACAATCAATTTAGCATAGACAATTACAATGGTTATTAGAGAATTTAAAGAATTAATTCATGCATCAATCATAATTGGGCTACCCTAGATCTTGGAATAAGAAATCTACTCACGCATATTGAAGAAAGTAATAACAATCATAATGATAGAAAACATGATTGAAAAGCATAAATTATTGAAAGAGAAAGGAATAGAGATGAATACCAATGATGCTTCAATTAAAATTACTCAAATTGTTAATCAACAATACCCAAATCTAACCTAAGATTTAAATTGCTAAAAGGAATTAAACTAAAGTTCTAGAGAGAGAAAGAGGACTTAAGGAAAATCTCAATAATCCACTAATGAAAATTACACTGGGTATTTATACCCTTAATGACCTAAAAATAATAAAATTAGAATTCGGAGTTGCGCACAACTGTGCCCGATTTGACATGCCCGATCGGGCACATGGTATAAACAACAGCGCTGCTTTCTTTTCTGAACTTCCTCTGCGCCCGATCCAACCGGGCGGGTAGCCCCCGATCGGGTGCGAGGCACAACGTCTACCCTAGCTGCCTTGCTGATCTTCATAATCTTGAACGCCTCCAGCCTCCACGCGCCCGGTCCAAACCGGGCGAAGCCTGCCCGATCGGGCGCGTGGCATAAAACCTTAAGATAACTTCTTTGCTTCAATTCCAGCATCAGTCAGGAGTCCCTACTGTGCCCGATCTGACCGGGCATGCTTAGCCCGATCGGGCACAGTTATAAAAACTTCTTTTGCTTGCTCGTTCTTCTAAGTCTTGGCTCGTGTTTAGCTCGATTATACATCCTTGTCCCCTAACATCTCCAAAATGCTTCAAACATGTCCGAATTATCCGAAAAACTCCAAGTTCCTGTAAAACTTATAAAAATGCACCGAACACACTAGAGAAGAGAATGTTAGCGGAAAACGGCTCTAAAGAGCCTCAAACCATACAAGAATGTATTGAAAAGTTGGGGAAAACATATGTGTAAAACGTGTATATCACTTGCTCACCCATGTTGTAGCTTGTCCACATTTTTCGTGAAACCCACAAATTTAAACCCTTGGCCCCGAATTGGTTGCTTTTCCCAAGTCTAGCTTGGGGGAGCTTTATTGCATGGTGTTTTGTGATGAGTTTGGCATTGAATGTGGAGCTTCAAGAAAAAAAAAAGAGAAGAAGGAATCACAAGCATGGAGGTTTATTACTTTGAAAAAAAATAAAAAAAAATTAAATAAAGAACAAGGAAAAAATTGATACAAAAATAAAGAAGTTTCGTTTTTGAAGGAAAAGAAAGAAAGATTTGATGCAAAGAAAAAAAAGAAGAAAAGAATTGGAAATTAAAAAAATATAAAAGTAGTAGTGGATGTTTCTTGAATAATTTGGGTATGTGCTCACGTCAATGAAAATGATGAATCGAGGATGTTATTAATTGCATTTGATAGCTCCCCGGTTAGACTATAATAGCCCACATTTCCCAAATTTATTTCCTACCCACTTTTATCCCGGCCTACATTACAAGCTTAAAAAAGTCCTTCCGATCTTCGTGCATGGTATTGTGTTCATGTGAAACGAGTCTTTTGTCAAAATGCTGGAGTATATGTCATATTTCGAGTCGACATTTGACTAGGTTGAACGATAATATAACCCTTTAAACACACGAGTGTTGTGAGATGGGGGGTTTGATTTGCATTATTGGTGGGGATGGTGAGAGATCGAGCTCACTTTTAGCTTGCCACATAAATAGTGTGTTGAGTGACCACAAAGGTGAGATATTCTAGTCATCGATTCTTGAGTTGTACATGGTTGATTTCGCTTGACGACTATTTAGGTTGATTGATGGTTTGAGTGATTTGATTGGTTGGCTAAGATGCATGCTTGTTTGATTTCGATTTTGAGTCCTTCGTTTAAAATTGCATTATGGGGTGAAGTATGTTTACTTGGTTGCTTGTTATTTTTGATTGCCTTGCTTGAGGACAAGCAAGAGGTTAGCTTGGGGGAATTTGATGTATGAGTTTTATACCATGTTTTATCCCGGTTTTACAACGTATATTTGCATGGTTTTAGGCTCTTTGGAGCCATTTCTCGCTAACAATCTCTTCTCTAGTGTGTTCGATGTATTTTTGTGAGTTTCATAGGAATGCGGAGTTTCTTGGATGAATCGAACACGTTTTGGATGTTTATAGAAGAAGTTAGTGCATGAAGAAGAAGGTTTCCCCCATGCCCTGTTGACCCTAGCTTGCCCGGTCAGACAGGGCAAAGAAGGATGAGCAGAATATGGAGTATGCGTTGCAGCCCTTAAGTGCCCGGTTGGGCATGTCTTGCCTGGTTGGACTGGGCACAGAGGAGTTAGAAGATAGTTAAGAATTTCGAAGGCAGCAAGTAATTTGAAGGCCGCTCGCGCCCGATCAGGTATGGTCCGCCCGGTGGGACCGGGCACGTGGTGGAAGGAGAACTACGAAGAGGAAGAAGCGTCGTATCCCAGCCGCCCGATCGGGCATAGCTCGCCCGGTCGGACCGGGCACTGCCTTACGGAATCCGACTTGCTTATTTTTGTAATCTTATCTTTTTAAGGGTATAAATACCCTTTGTAATCACAATTAGAATTAGACATTATTATATCCTCTAGTATTAGTTTTCTCTAAGAACCCTAGTTTTACTTTCTTTAAGCAATTTAATTCTTCTCTTAGCTTGATTATTGTTCATCAACAATTGGAGTTCTTTCAATTGAAGCAATTTTGGTATGTATCTATCTCTTTCTCTTCTCTTTCAATTATTATTGCTTTTTGATTATGTTTTCTCCATTGAATTTCATTATTGATTTTGTTAGCATGTGTGAGTAGATTCATAATCCGGGATCTTGCAAAGCATAGATATGATTAATGCTTAGACTTAATCTTTAAATTCTCCAATAATATTTCCAATTGACATGCTTGATTGATTGTGTTTATGACAATACTAGATTAGGAATAATTGGTATTGTTATCATCCCTTTGTTCTTATTGCAACGGAAGTTGAATATTAACGGGATTTGGGTATTTCAATTAAGGGTTTGAAGGTCATCACGGAAGTAGATGATTGAATGATTAAGAAGTTGAGTATTGTGTTTAATGTCCCTTTTTTGCTTGATTCCATGGAAATAGGCTTGATAGTTGATTTGGGAAGCCATTGATAACTCGGGAGAGACCTTTGGTATTGATTAGGGAATGCTTTTCCTCTTGTCGATTGAATTGTTATTGGGGGTAGATTTATTTATGCATTGATTATATTCGTGGTAATGCTTGATCTTGGATGCTTTAGTTCATTGATTTATCACATTCTTTAGATTAATTGAGTCCTTTAATTATTCGTTCTCAGAATTTCATCACCATTGATTTGTTACTTGCTTAGTGATTACTTGAGTCTATTTAATTAGGTGAACCTTAGTCTCTTGGGATTCGATCCTTACTTGCTCGTCTACATAGTAGTGATCTCGTTTGGTTTATTTTTGTTAGGTACGCGACACGCCTATCAAATTTTGACGCCGTTTCCGGGGACTAACGGGTTTCTTTCTGATTATTTGTGATTCGTTTTTACTAAGCTT